GCCTCAATCAGATCCTGTAATACAAACAACAACAACAACAGACGAACCTGTGAAATTCGCATTTGAAAATCAAGAGGCATCAAAGATCGGAATATATGGATAATCAGAACAGAGGGTTCAACATGCTGATCAAGGTTGATTGTTTGCAAAATGCTCGAGCGAACGTGTTCTAAATGTAGGACGGGGTATACTGGTCTCACGATTTTCGACGATCATATACACACAACACATTTGTTGTGAAAATGGCCTGTTCCGGTTTTGTGTCCCACACACACATCCATTGCATAAAGAAAACTCGTTTTTGTGCACTGTCAGCTGGAAGGAAGACTGACAGGACATAGCTACTCTATGCTCTCGCCACAGTTGTGTATTTGAGTAGAAGGTTAGCACGGTCATGCGTTACTTGGAGGAACAAGGGTTTGGATCAGTCAAATGTTTATTTAGAGAAGTTTATTTCAATATTACAATCCATCTACAATAATAGCCGAATCCGAGTCCAAGCTTACTGCACTTTTTCACCCGAGTTCACTACAAAAAGTGGTGTTCGACAGGGTTGCCCTCTCTCTCTGTTTCTATTTAACTTTGTCATGCTTTAATTCTTGAAACAGTCCCATCTTCGTGTGACGCTCTCGGGTGGAAGACTGTCTGATCTAGAGTATGCTACTGAGTGAAGATCCAGGTAAGTTGCAAACTTTTCTGGATAGTTTGAGTGCTAGTGTAGCGATGTTCGGTATGCATTTTGCACCTTCAAAGTGTAAAATGTTGCTCCAAGACTGGGTTGGCCCAGTTTCCAACCTGACCGGGAAAGTTGTAAAGAAAACAAAAAAGTCTACTATCTGGGCGGCTACATCTCACCTGGCGGGCGCATCACAGATGAAATGTCAGCGCGCATACAGAAGGTTCGTTTGGCATTTGCCAACTCGAAACATCTGTGGCGCCGTCGCGACATCCAGCTGTCTGTGAAGGGTTGAGTATATGCCGCAGCAGTTCGGCCAGTCCTGCTCTACGGTGCACAGATTTGATCATTACGGGAACAGGATAAAAATAGATTGTCGGTGTTCGAACACTGCCGTCTAAGTCGCATTGCACGAGTCTAGTGGTGTAACCGGACGAACGAAGCTGAGGTTAGGCACAGAGTTTTAGGTAAACGCGGTAGTCCACCGGAGTAAGTAGTCAACCTCCGTAGTTCACGTTGGTTGGATCATGTGCTACGCATGTCACCAGATAGGTTTCCACGGCAAGCGATGTCTGCCGAGGAAGGTAGTGGGTGGAAAAAGGTCAGGGGCCCTCAATCTAAGACCTGGCATGAGGGTATGAAAACCCTGAACAGGAGACTGGGTCACATAGGCCCCGTTAGGCTCCCCGGCTGGGGACCCCGCGATCATGGTCATCGATGGTTAGAGACACTGAGCGATATGTCTAAGTGCCGCAAATAGTGGTGGTCATGCATCTACTCACTATTCTATGTAAATGCGCTATCTTCCGCTTGAATCTGCTGTCAACATTCTAACCTTCATTGTGCTTTTTATCCAAATCGGCAACCAAAACCGGCGTACGAAAGTGCATGGTTAATGTTTGTAAGAACTGAACTCAGTCAGATGGCAAAGACCATAGAATGAAGCAAATCACATCAGAAACCATATTTCCAGTTATGCGCAAAACTAGGCGGTACTGGGTGCTTATTAGGAGAGAGAGCATTCATTTTGCTTTGAAACAAAGAAACTGTTTTTTCTCTCAGAAGAAAACAAGCATGAGATTTTAGTCTTTTGGAACATTTCAAAGACGCATCCATTAAATGCTGGTTATTTATAACAAAAATGTAGCTTCCTATGCGACAATACCAAAGCATTGTTTCATACCTGTTCGGAATGAGTATATTATATCCGTGTTGGGACTGGAGCCGTTACCCTTCCGGTTAACAGTTGAAACCAAGATCAACGTGGGTAGCACGTGGTATCTGGGACTTCAGATAGGACTATCGATTTGAATAATTGCACGTGAACCAGGCTATGCACTTAAGGTATTAGATGTTGACTGTATAACTCGAGTATTTCAAACGGAACCCGAAGGTTCATCGTCCCAGTTCCGACCGGAACAGAGAATCTGTAGGCACCGCTATGAGGTGACACGGATAAAATAGCCTTCCGGAGCAGTTTTTCTGCCACTACACACGAA